GAATTTCTAATTCATACAAAACTATAGACTTAGTATTTTGACTTCACAAACATCTAATTTGAACCAGTGCTGAATTCAACATATCACACAAAAATTGATGTTTATCTATGTTTTTTTATATTTACTTTTAAAAATTGAGTAATGTATAGTTCTAAAATTTGAATTATAATCCACAGTTTGATACCAAACTTATTGACATAAATTCATGAAATAATAGTTTAAAAACATTTTGAATGCAAGTTAACAAACAAGATGTTATGGCCTTTCATCTATGACCCGTCTCGAAAGGGTTAAACAACATTAACAAGATACATATATATTTTGATTTTACCTTAAACTTGAATATTTAATATGTATTAAAGACACAGGGAGAAGTCGCTTCTCCTCCAAGTGTAAACAGGGAGTGGATTTTGAAAACAGGAAGACTTCACATGCACTTACATAAAAACACCATTTCAATAAATGATATTTTGTTTATTTAGGGGTCAATTCTTTCCCTATGGGTACCTCTTTTCTGCACTTAACAACCTTTTTACAGTTACATTCAAAATTTAATTAAACTACTTTATTATCAATATACATAAATAATCTTGGCATCAAAATATAGTTAATAAATTAAAGTTTAATAGTACGATAATTGTGACATTTGCTCTTTAGTTCTTCTCAGACACTTACCATGCTCACCTGTAAAATCCTCTCTTTCACAAATTGCCAATAATTCTTTGACATTTTTATTCTTTATAATCAATAGAAAGCCAAAATCTTCAATCTATCAAATGACATAGTATATTGTTTTCTGTACAGAGAATTGTCTATCTCGCCTCCAATTCTATACTTGTTTCTCAAGGGAATCAAACTTCCAGTTCGAAACTATTCCCATGAGAAATACATCAATGAGCTTAGCTGAATTCTTAGTAGTTCTTATTGCATACTTAGAAAGCCAGATAAATTATGATAGATTAAGGACATTGTTTGCTTTGCATGTTATTATTCTGTGTTCTTAATTGCATTATTTAATTAAACAAATTATTTAGTGTGGTAGTATCATTAGTAGGCTTAAGTTTCATTTACAGTTGAAAGATTGTTTTTTTGTTTTTGAATTTCATGCAAAGCTACTCGAGGGCTATCTGCACTAGCCGTCCCTAATTTAGCAATGTGATACTAGTGGGAAGGCAGCTAGTCATCACCACCCACCACCAACTCTTGGGTTACTCTTTTACCAACTAATAGTGAGATTTCCCATCACATTATAATGCCCCCCCTCCCCCAATGGCTGAAAGGGCGAGCATGTTGGTGTGATGGGGATTCAAACCCGTGACCCTCAGATTGTGAGCCGAGCACCCTAACCACCTGGCCAAGGTTGAAAGAAGAAAAAGACAGATGATGAGACAGGTAAGTACTGTATTTCTTGTTTTTCTATATATTCTTTATGTACTGTTATGAATGTAACTAAAATGTAAAACTTCGAAATTTATTAGGTTAGATTAGGTAAAAAAATGAAAAAATAATAATAATAGAAATTCTTCACAAGGTATGCTCCTGTGTTATATAATTTGATACGGTAACATGATCTGCACATTTGCCAAGTGATTCACACCATGTGTGATGAGATTATTAGTAAGATATGATTCAAAGGTCAATAAAACAAAATTAAGTATAAACAGATGTATACTGTTATGAGCTTTAAGCTACTTAGGATACTTTGTTTCCTATTTCTATTTGCATTCATTCTATAAAGTATGAAAAGATAATTTAGATTTATTTCCTAATCTTTTTACGGTGGTTACAAGTTCAGTCAAATTGAATGACTCCATATAGAGTTATGGTAGAGAAAATAACAGATAAAATATAACTTTTGTTTAAAAAAGTCTGATGTTTATTTAGGAGGTTTTAGAGATTACACAAAGAAAATTTGACAATTTTCAGATGAAGTATTTTTTATTTTAACATGAAAATAGCTTTGCATTTGGAGTAGTCAACACTCTGACTCCATATATTTCTAGACAAATTTTTAGTAAAAATAATTTAAAATCTGATATTTTTTCATCAAAAGACTTGTAGTGTTTAGTGATAGTGTACAAAATTTTGTTAATCATTATCAAAAGTCATAGCATGCCTAATCCTATGGTTACTTTGATTACGAATTATGTACTAGGTGCAATGCACCTCTCCTATATGGAAAGAGTTAATTATTTATATCTGTGAGTGTGTGTGTGTGTGTGTTTGAAGCTTTTTGTTTGTTTGTTTGTAATTAAGCACAAAGCTACACAATGGGCTATCTGTGCTCTGCCCACCACGTGTATTGAAACTCGGATTCTAGCATTGTAAGTCGGCAGACATACCACTGTGCCACTGGGTGGCGTGTTTGAAGCATTAAATAATGATGATCACATATCTTTTTAATTCAAATCTATGAAAACTATTTTATTTACTTTTGAATTTTAGTCAATAAAATAATCTGTCTTCAATCTAAAGAATATAAAACCATTTTATTTACTTTTGAATTTTAATCAATAAAATAATCTGTCTTCAATCTAAAGAATATAAAACCATTTTATTTACTTTTGAATTTTAGTCAATAAAATAATCTGTCTTCAATCCAAAGAATATAAAACCATTTTATTTACTTTTGAATTTTAATCAATAAAAATAATCTGTCTTCAATCTAAATAATATAAAACCATTTTATTTACTTTTAATTTTAATCAATAAAATAATCTGTCTTCTATCTAAATAAAACCATTTTCTAAATTAATTGCATTTGCCTTTCTTTTCTACTTAATTTTTACATTTTTTTAAAACTAGATAAAATAGATGATGCACGTGTACATTATGCGGTACTAATAAAACAATTTTAGCTGCAGTGCCTGTGATGCTCATGTGCATCATAGTATAGATTTTAGTTCAATAAGAGTATTTATGGGCATACCTGATATTATTTTGCATTATTAAAATGCTCCTATTAAAAAACAGGGACCTAGCAAGGGTACTGATGCAACACTGAATGTGTTAACAGCTAACAAAAAAATATGAATTTTGCTTCAGCTAATAAAATATTGTATAATCTTAATACACTTACCAGTCTTAGCAGTTTATCTTCTTGTTCTTGATATTTCTTAACATAGTCAGTTCCTTTACTTTCAGATCTAAGATAATATAAGTTGATACTTCTTAAGTTCCTTTACTTTCAGATCTAAGACAAACATAAGTTGATAATTCTTAACATAGTCAGTTCTTTTACTTTCAGATATAAGATAAGTTGATACTTCTCAACATAGTCAGTTCCTTTACTTTCAGATCTAAGACAAACAAAAATAAGTAAAAACTGTAGAATAATACATCAGTTACCAATATATTCATTTATTTTATATTCTTAAATAAATATCACATATCAGTTTGAATCTTTCAGTTTACACTTTTCAAGGAGATCAATACTTTCTGAAACACTATTAGCTGGGTTAATGATTGAAACACAAAAAGAGATTAAGGACTTCAAACTTCTACAATTTTGCTTAATTGTCAGGAACTGAAATTGAAATAGAAAAAATTTTGCTCCACTAATTTTAAATATGTTTTCTTTCATATAATTCACAGAATGGATAGTTGGAGTTTAATATACTTGTATGTACTTACAATCTTAAGTTACTCAAGTTCAGCACACTGGATGACCCAGACACCTCCAAACCCTGTCCCCCAGTTGCTGTGGGACCAATATGTATCGGTTGAGGTTTCTTATTCAGACTGAAGAAGTCATTAATATGATCCAACGTAATATCTCCTGAACCAGCCATGTTTCACACTAGCATCAGTGTTATAATAGTAGAATTATTTTTCTGAAATAACAACATACAATCAAACAATTGCCACAACAATGGTCTAATTCTGTTTGTGGACTGGGGTAGACTAAAAATTATTCTAAATAATGTCAAATGATTTTTTTAAATATATTGTTAAGAGATGGAACAGACATTTGTTCTAACAAAAGGTTTTATTGAAGTTACTCAATACCTTAGTCAACATTTCATGTACATACTAATGTATTACTGTTAATAATATTACAGTAACCATGGCATGGATAAAAACAAACCCTCCATCATTAGAAATATCAGAACTGTAGATAACTTGCAAAAGATGAATACAAGGTGACATGTTTATTTGAATAAATGGATATAAACCATGACCAGTCTTCAAACAGAAGACAGAAATTGATAAGAATATAAATAAGGTGGTAGGATTAAAGAAGGTATAGAAGCAGTGAAAGTTACATGTAACATTTGTCTGGCAAAGATATTAAGTTACAGCTACAACCTATTATCACTATAAAAAGTATGTAATCTAATGCATGGTATGAAAATCCTTGCTAAGTTAAATATAATTGAACAGAATCTGAATTGAAAATCAGCCCCTGCAAAGCATCATTGAAAATATTCCAGGTTTTCATAGATGTTTAAAAATTACCTTTACTTGACTTGTACTGATATTTCCAAGGTTTTCAGTTCTGTGACCACGTTGTTATAACATGCAAAGCGTAACACTCAGCTTACAGAGGTTTGATAAGCAATTAGAAATGGCAAAAAACTGGAAGCATCCAGCAGTATATACCTGTAGTTGGGGTATCCAGCACTATATACCTGTAGTTGGGGTATCCAGCAGTACATACCTGTAGTTACGGTATCCAGCAGTACATACCTGTAGTTACGGTATCCAGCAGTTCATACCTGTAGTTACGGTATCCAGCAGTTCATACCTGTAGTTACGGTATCCAGCAGTTCATACCTGTAGCTAGGGTATCCAGCAGTTCACACCTGTAGCTAGGGTATCCAGCAGTACATACCTGTAGCTAGGGTATCCAGCAGTACATACCTGTAGTTACGGTATCCAGCAGTTCATACCTGTAGCTAGGGTATCCAGCAGTTCACACCTGTAGCTAGGGTATCCAGCAAGTTCATACCTGTAGTTACGGTATCCAGCAGTTCATACCTGTAGCTAGGGTATCCAGCAGTACATACCTGTAGCTAGGGTATCCAGCAGTACATACCTGTACCTAGGGTATCCAGCAGTACATACCTGTAGTTAGGGTATCCAGCAGTACATACCTGTAGTTACGGTATCCAGCAGTACATACCTGTAGTTACGGTATCCAGCAGTTCATACCTGTAGTTACGGTATCCAGCAGTTCATACCTGTAGTTACGGTATCCAGCAGGTCATACCTGTAGCTAGAGTATCCAGCAGTACATACCCGTAGTTAGGATATCCAGCAGTACATACCTGTAGTTATGGTATCCAGCAGTACATACCTGTAGTTACCATACCCAGCAGTACATACCTGAAGTTAGGATATCCAGCAGTACATATACACCAGTATAACACACCATAATAGTTAAAAGCTAATGTATAACATACCATAATAGTTAAAAGCTACTGCATAACATACCATAATAGTTAAAAGCTAATGTATAACATACCATAATAGTTAAAAGCTAACGTATAACATACCATAGTAGTTATAAGCTATATAAGTTATAATAATGTATATATTTTATCTGATGTAACATTTATAGTGACTCCTGGCTGTTTTACAGGATATGGTGTAAATATATCTCATGTAATAATGTATATATATTTTATCTGATGTAACATTTATAGTGAATCCTGGCTGTTTTACAGGATATGGTGTAAATATATCTCATGTAATAATGTACATGTTTTATCTGATGTAACATTTACATGGAGCACTCTGGCTGTTTTACCCATTTAGAATCATGCATTTTTTATCCTTTTCACAATTAATTCTTAAAATCAATCTGTATCATACATAACAGAAACAGTAGAAATTAGATCATAATTAATTGTTACAATCAACCTTTTTCACAAAAAAATAGAAATAGAAGGAAATACATCATAATTAATTGTTACAATCAACCTGTGTTATGCAGAACAGAAACAGTAGGTATGATACAGGTTGATTGTAACAATTAATTATGATGTAATTCCTACTGTTTCTGTTCTGTATGATACAGGTTGATTGTAGCAATTAATTAGTATGTAATTCCTACTGTTTCTGTTCTGATATGATACAGGTTGATTTTAACAATTAATTATGATGTAATTCCTACTATTTCTGTTCTGTATGATACAGGTTGATTTTAACAATTAATTATGATGTAATTCAGAACAGAAACAGTAGGAATTACATCATAATTAATTGTTACAATCAACTTGTATCATACAGAACAGAAACAGTAGGAATTACATCTTAATTAATTGTTACTATCAACTTGTATTATACAGAACAGAAACAGTAGGAATTACATCATAATTAATTGTTAAAATCAACTTGTATCATACAGAACAGAAATAGTAGGAATTACATCATAATTAATTGTTACTATCAACCTGTATCATACAGAACAGAAACAAAAACTCCCTCCCAAAGGATACTAAAAGAGGGAACTGTTATGAACTGTGAAAAAGATGGTCATTACAAACAATACTAAAGAATTAACAGTTGTTATTAAGTAAGAAAACAAATGCATTAAGGATGAGTCCCAAACCAATCAAAAGAACAACAAAAAGCTAGCCAGACATACAGAAGACTAGATCTAGCTAGATACATGGGGCAAAGTTATGCTAGGAATACCCCAAATACGATAAGATAATCATCCACGAGTCCATGGGTTCATTGATGGGTAACCTTGAAATATGTTTGTTGAAACTGGTTCTATAGCTACAATTGTTTGACCCAATTTGTTGATTAAAGTTGGAAAACTGATAAGAAGATCGGTAACAAAGTTTTGGGACAACAAGGGACCTATTGGTGCATCTGGATGTTCCTTCCTCTAAACTAACTAAAACTATTACTAAATAAATTTTTAAAAATCTTAAAGCCAGCCTTTATCATTCATATACTTATCAAGCTTTCTATTAAACTCACTTAAATTTACTGCCTCTACAACATCTGAAGGTAGCCCATTCCAAAATCCA